AGCGACGCCGCTGCCAGCAGCTTGGCCGTTGTTTCTGCGCGGGTGGGGCGCTGGGGCCTGAGCCTGGAGCCTCGCCCTAGGAGGGCGAAAGCGGCCATGAGTTCTCATTAAGCCTTAATTAGCAGTTACTTAATGGTGGTTTGCTCTGCGCTGGCAGCCGTGCTGCTGCGGGAAGGGGGGAAGAGGCGCCCCCTGCTGCCCGTGGGGCGCAGCCGGGCCCGGGTGGGCCTGAGGGGCCGGTGGGTGCTGCAGGGGCCGCCGCGGTGCCTTCCACCTGCGGCGGGGATCCGTTCAGACAGCAAAACTACGTCCCCTCGGGGAAAAAAAAAAAAAAAAAAAGAGAGTTAAAAAAGTCACTTGCGGGTTTTCCCTCAGTCCAGGGCTTCAGCACAGACAGCCGCTGCGTGGCCCTGCTGAGGCGGGCAGCAGAGCGGAGCAATGCGCAAGGACGTGAATAGAGTCTCCTGGCCAGGGTCGTGTCTCCTGTCTGTTCCCAAGGGGTGTGTTGGCTCTCCCCGGAAGGGAAAATGGCATTTTTCATTCCTATCCCGTCAGAAGCCCTTTTGTATTTTGCATTTGCGGCTTACTGAGGCTTCTCCCCCTGGCTGCAAAGGACATTCAAATCAGCAGTGGCTTCAAAAGTTGCAAAGAGTATTTTGGCTTGTAATCCCCACCCAGCAGGAAACCGCACTTGAAATTACGGGAAATACTGTTCTAGGGGAGGATGAAGAGGTAAATGTTGGAGAGCACTGTATAGCGCCTGCAGAACCAGAAAATCAGCAGGCTCAAATTCAAGATTTCCTTGGCTGCAAGTACATCACTTGGGATGACTTTTGGACGCAGCAGCCGAGGACGTGATGATGGCTCAGCATCGGTGACTGCCTTCAGGCAGCTCAGCTCCTCTTCATCACACTGCTGAGGGTGTTTGCAGGTGGGAAGCACTGTGCTGTCCTGTCCTGTAACGTCTGCCTGCAGCAGCGTATGATCGACATCAAAATGGAGTTGCCAACTCGAGCAAATTTATTACAGCTCTCCTGCAGTGCTGTGATTTTTTTCTGAACTGTCTCAATCCCCAGAGACAGGCAATGTTAGAGTACTCTTCATTTCATTTAGTCTTCATTGTCATTTGAGTGAAAAGCTCAAAGCTCTGCAGGCAAAACCAGAAAGAACCTGCATGTATTCCATTTCTCAACCTCCTTTGAATTTTAAGGCAGCTCCTTGGTTTTCTGGTGCTAACTGATTATTTCTATGATAATCTTGTGGGTTATCGGTATTTAAGTGTAGACTTTGTTGTGTTTGTCGAGGTTCACTTTTTGGTTTCACATCAGGACATGATCAAACAAGCAGACTTTGACATTACTAGCACACCTGTCCCCAGCGTGGCTGGCCGACCACCTTTCCTCCAAAGCCTGAGATGTGCATGAAGCCTAAGACAGCCCAGTTTGCTGTCCTAGGAATTAATTCCTGAAAAGTTTGATTCTAATTCCTGGAAGAAGCAGGAGCCTCAGTTAAGTATTTCAGCTGAAATATAGCAAAGACTGGTGGCCTGGTTTGGCTGGGATGGAATCCCAGCCCAGCCATGCCAGGCAGGCTGTTAGCAGTTGGGAGCCAGCCAGGGCAGCTGCCCTGAGTGAGCCACAGGGGTAGCCCATCCCATAATGTCACGGTCATTGTAAAGGGCGACGGTTTGCTGAGGAAGAGGAGCTCCTGTGGGGTTCCTCCTGCTCCTCCTTTGGCTTTTTCCTGCTCCTGAGCACTGCTGTCCTTTTGACCGTGATCACTGCATGTTTGTTTGTATAGTATTAGTGTACCTTTGGTATGTCTTAGTGTGCCTTTGTTGATATTGGTTTTATTTCATTAAATCTGTTGCTCCTTCAGCCCACAGATCTCTTTTTCCTGATTCCCCCTTCCTGGCTGCTGAGGGGTCATCGGGTGATAGAGCAACTGTTACAGTTTAGCCCTAGATAGGGGCTGAACGTAGACAACTGGACTGTGAGCAGTTATTATAGTCACACCCAGCAGAGTACCTGGCTTTCTGAAAGAACCCTGCTATTTAGACAGAAATAAAAATGATCCAAAATCTACCATTTCCAGCTGGTGTTCTGGTAAGTGGCTAAATAAACACAAAAGCTGAAAGTTCCTCAGTTTCCAAGTCCATGTCTGTCGTTAAATTAGGTACTTTGGAGCGATACTGAGGGAAAAATCAGACATCTGCAGTAAATGGAGCATACTTTCAGAGTTACTGCTATCCCCATACAACCCACTGATGGCAGCATTTAAAATGAGACCTTATTCTCCATGTGTGCCCAGAAGGTCTCTTGATGTAAGGTTCTCGGGGTCATAGCAAGCATTTTTCACGTTGTTCAGTGCAAAGCTTTCAGATGCACTCTGTGGCAGTGACTTTTATTTATCACCTTCTGTCAGAAGAACTGCTGCTGCATCGGAGAGGTCACAACCTCCTATTCTTCCAAGACTGTCCTGTCTTAAATGAACAAGTTCTACTTAATGCCACAGGCCAAACATTAATCTTTGTGCTAAGCCCTTCAGTGGACTCCCCCCGAGCTCACAGAGTAAGTAAAGTGAAGAAAAAGTTCTGGTTATTTCACATCCTTTCTTCCTTGTGAGAAAATGCCACGGGTGCTCCCCAGCATCTCCGCTGCAAGTGAAGAAGATGGGCTGAGCAGAAAAACCTCGCACAGGCAAAGGAAGGGTCTGGCTGCACCTGAACAACAGATGGTCGTGGCCCCATACCTCCACTCAACCCTATTTTCAGCTCGTCCGTGGTCCTGTACCTTCTCCCAAGCCTGCTTTCGGCTGTAGTGGAAGCTCAGGGGCTGGAGAGTGAGCTGGGGAGGCTAAGGAACCACCACGGGGTGCTTTTCCCAGACGCTGTGTGTGCGATACCCTGTAGCAGAGGAGAGAACAGACAGTTGTGTCTGTGCTGCTGCTGGTGCTGACCCAGCCAGCGCTGGAGCAGCTTAGTGGCCGCTGGGTTTTTGCTCAGTGCCTCCTTTCATCTCCCTTTTCATTCCTTCCTCCTTCCTTTCTCTGCCCTTTCCTGCCCATGGCTGCTGGTAAGAGTGCTTTTAAAAATGACCATTATGCCTACAGCACCTCACCTGCTTCCTTCAGCCTTTGCAGCACATAAAAGCCTTGGCAAGAGATGAAAAGCCTTCTAATTACGGTACGATAAAGAACATATTGCGTCTATGGATGTACTGAGTGGGATATGAGCTGCCAACACCACAGCAATCCTCTAGCGTCTGCTCTGCAAAAAAGAGAGATGATAGGGAGCGAATATCGGCCACTGATGGGTCCTCTTTGTGAGGGCAACTTCAGCACCATTTTGAACTGATTTCACGTTATTAATCCTTCCATTGGTACAACGATGCACATGTACAAAACTGCCTGTATGTGTGTATGTACACATGTCTATGTGCTTGTTTGCATGCATTTCCTCTCCCAGTCTCTAGCTGCTATAGGATGTCTGACACCAGCAGCAGAAGATATATTGATCTGGTCATAACATATTAAGGCTGCTGAAGAGCAGATGTTAAAAACAGACTTCTTGGCATATATCAGCCCCTGGCGGTATCAGTCGCACACATGTTCCAGTTTATTTATTAAAGCAATTGCTCTCCTCGTTCCGTTTATTATCTTTCTCCTGGGCAATTCAGGCACGTCAGAGCCAACCCCTTCCAGTCTGTCAGCCCTTCTTGGATCGTCGTTTTTGCTTCAGCTCGGACAACACCCTGCAACTCTTCCTTCCTGAGAAACCAGGCCCGTCCCAGTGTTCTTAAAAGCAGATGGAAATTTATCAGCTGCAAAAATATATCCTGGCATGAATATAGTGACAATAAAGACTCAGGGATCCCTTTAATTTGATACTAAGCAGGTACCTAATGGGGCCACGGAGGTCGTCTGGAGAGGGAATTTCAGTGATATGGCCACACACGGCACCCAGGAGGCTGTGATGCACCACAGGCGCACATTGTGGCGGAGAGGGCCTGTTAATTGAAAGACTAGGAACAAAACATACCCCTTTGGCCCTCAAAATCTTGTTTGTCCCGTCTTGTTACGAACGGCCGCAGAACTGTGACGTTAGTGTGGAGCAAAGAGCCTTCCCTGAGATCACATCAGGGCGTACGAGAGCAGCGTGGCTTCGTGGGCTGGAAAGGTGTGTGACACCGGTCCTTCTCCAGGAGTCAGCGTTGTCACCAGCCTGCCGAAACACCTGGCACTGAGGTGAGGGCTCCTGCCACGTTCTTGCAGGAGCGCAGGTTTATATTCTGCAGTTTATTTCTGCCGGGGCTAGGGCAGTAATGCTCTTGTCACAGCTTCAGCAGTAAAACCCGAGAGCCCCCCTGACGCCAAGTGGCCAAGGGGCTCTTGAGCAAAGAGGCAAGGTCCCGTGCCCAGTACTTAGCCCCAGGACTGGTGCTTACCTCCAGCAGCCACCCCGTTGCCTGGTGCCTCGTAGCCCCTCTGCATGTTCGGTAGCTGTTCTGCAGACCTCTGCCCGCTGCCCTGGCTGTTGCGTGTGCTCCTGGAGCTGCCTCCTTCAGAACAATGAAAATGCATTAATTATCCCAATATCTAGCCAGCAGTGGACAGCTGGACCTGGATGGGCAGCAGTTTTTCCAGCCTCTCCTCGTTGGGTCAGTCTCCCTTTTGCTGCCTTAACCCCTCTGCAAACCACGGGGGAGGCTGGTTTAGTGTAGACTTTAGCTCATTTTTTGCCACTCAGACGCCATAAGCTGCCCCTCACGCTTACAGTAGCGTTCCC